CAGCCAATCGGTGTCTTTTAACTGAAGAGTTAAGTCCATTCACGTTTAATGTGAGTATTGATACATAGTGACTTTGCCCTGCCATTTGCCCAAGATAAGTTCTAATATATGCTTTGAGCTTCCCATGCTCTTTTACTGGTAGGTGTTCTTCCTTTACCTTCTTTCATATTGATGGCTGTGTTTCTGTGTTTCTGAGTGTAGCACATCTTTAAGTATCTTTTGCAGGGCCGGACGAGTGGCCACAAAGTCTTTCAATTTCTGTTTCCTATGAAAGGTCTTTATTTCACCTTCATTCACAAATGAGAGCTTAGCAGGATATAATATTCTGGGCTGGCAATTTTTCTCTCTTAGCACCTGTGCTATGTCTCGCCATTCCCTCCTAGCCTGTAGGGTTTCTGATGAGAAGTATGCTGTGAGTCTGATTGGAGATCCTCTGAGAGTAATCTGACGTTTCTCTCTTGCACATTTTAGGATCTTTTCTTTATGTTTCACTGTGGTAAGTTTAATTACAACGTGTCGTGGTGAGGATCTCTTTTGGTCATGTTTACTGGGGGTTCTATGAGCTTCCTGTATTAGGATGTCTCTGTTCTTCTCCAAACCTGGAAAGTTCTCTGCTAGTATCTCACTAAAAAGGCCTTCTAATCCTTTCTCTCTCTCCATGCCTTCAGGAACTCCTAGAACCCGAATGTTGGTTTTTTTAATAGTATCCTGTAGATTCCCAACAATATTTTTTAGATTTCTAATTTCCTCTTCTTTTCTTTGGTTTGACTGTATCCTTTCCTGTTCTCTGTCTTCTAAGTCCGATATTCTCTCTTCTGCTTCACCCATTCTGTTTGTAAGGCTCTCTAATGTGTTTGTCATTTGATCTATTGAGCTCTTCATTTCATTTTTGTCGCTCCCCCTCTTCGTGGAGGAACAACACTAAACCCTGCCTAGGCTTCATATCCGAGTCACGGCACCATTATGTCGCTCCCCCTCTTCGCGGAGGAACGACACAGGACCCTGCGCTGCTCTTTCGTCTGCTCGGCCCTCCCCGGGTTTGCTGCTGGTTCTTCCCGGGTTGGCTACTATCCCTTCCACCTCCGTGGAAGGGCAGTTCCCCCTGGCCACATTCCCCACTTCCGCAGGGGAGCGGCACACCGCCGGCTGGCTCTTCTCGGGGGCTGCACAGGTGTTCCTTCAGCTAGATGTTCCCCTTAGATGTTCCTGGTGCATGCCGTCTCTCTCCTCCTTTATAGTCCTCCTCCGCCAATCCTAACTCGGCTGCCCACACGCCGAGTACGCTGCTCTCCTCCAATCAGGAGCAAGTCCTACAGTTTATTGGTTGAACTGGAGGCAGCTGTGCAGAAGCTGTTTACTTCTCTCCCAGCGCCATATTGTGGGAGAGCAGGTGCATAGAATAAGTCTTAATTCCAGTAACAGTCTAGTCCGGGTTGTTCCCCACAATTTTGATTTCTCTTCACTATAACACTTTCCTGTTCTACTAGTTTCTGCGTTTCACTTTGATTCTTCCTTAAAATTTCATTTTCACGAGAGAGATTTTCAATCCTGTCCAATAAGGATTTCTGTAGTTCAAGGATTTGCTTTTGAAAACTTTTAAATGTTCTTATCATAAATTTTTTGAAATCCGTATCTTGCATTTCTTCTATCTCATCATCTTCATATTCTTGGCTTGGGGTGTTTTGTTTATTTGGAGGCATCATAGTGCCATCGTTGATCTTGTTCCCTCGATTTCTGTGTTTATTGCTTGGCATGGTTAATTCTTTTTCCCTCACTGTGAGGTGTTTTTTTTTTTTATATACTATGTCTGTGTTAAGTGGACTGCCTGCTGTTGGAGGAGCCTTGGAGGCTTGAGATGGGTGTGGCCTGAGAGCTCTGCTTGGTTCTTCAGGGTTACAGGTGTGCAAAGGTTATGCGTGGTAAATCTCTATTTATTTATTTATTCATTTATTTTATTTTATTTTATTTTTTATTCAGGAGGTAAGTAATACTGCAAGGTTGAGCAGAATGGATGGTATTTAGCTTCAGATCTCTGGCTTCTACCCAAAGAGTCTGTGCAGGCTGGGTTTCTCCTGCGGACTCCCACTGGGTTGCCTAGGCTACTGAATTGTAGCCTTAACTCTCCCCTTTTATTATGTATATCCCAGCTCTTTGTCTCTTGGTGGAGAGAGGAACTTGTCTGTACCAGTATGCCCTCACCTTTTTTTTTTTTTCCCTTGTCTCCTGTAGTCTGTTGAACTTTCCCGCTTCAAAGCCTGCTTCCCTCTAAAATTCTGTCTGCCATTTCCCTGCCAATGTCTCCAGTTACTGAGCTCACCTCTGCTTCCAGCTCCGATGTGTGGACTTGGAGCCCTGGGCATCCCTCCTCTCCCCGCTGGTGTCTGTGTCACATCGACTCCCCTTCCTGCACTGGCGCTCAGACTCTGCGGTTCCTGTGGTTCGGCTTCCGTGCGGTGGGCGACTCTGCTCTTCCAGTAGGTCCTCTGAGTTACTGCCACTAGCTCCGGAAGATTTTCCTCTGCAATTTTTTTTCCTGATCCTTTTTCTGAGGCTACCGTAACTCCGCTTTTATTAAACTAAATTTTCCTGGACTATCGGTGCGCGCCCTCACTATTCCACCACCTTGGCTCTGCCCAAAGTAAACAATTTATAAAAAATTTGTCTATTAAGTTTGTAAACTTTAAAAATGTGATAATATTTAATGTCTGCAAGGCAGTAGATAAGGGATCATTCACAAATATGTTGTTAAAAAATTTCAGGTAGCTTTACAGAAAACAATTTAAGGTTTCCAGATTTTCTCTTTCAACTGGTTCTACTTTGATCAATTTATTAAATAAATTTATTAAATAATCATGGGTAAGTGCAATCTTTAACTCCAAATATCTTCATAAAAGCTGGAACATGAAAACTAACCTGCGTCCATGAAAGATCTCTCTCAGTGAGATCCCAGTGGAAAGAACAGGCTATCAAGGAAGGAGGTACCTTTCTCTGAAGGGAGGAGAGAACTTCCACTTTGAATATGACCTTGTATAAGTAGGATTGGAGTTGGCGAACTCAAGAGGCTTCTATAGCCTTGGCAGCTCATGACAAGAACCTCTGGTGATTGGACGTCATAAATAAGAGTGTCAATTGTTAAATCAACAACAGGAGTCCCTGTGCAATTACTACCCATGTAGGATCTCTGTCCTCAATGTGTTGTACTATGAGAATTAATGGTAAAAATAGTCTTCAAACAGTTCTTTGTACTTTGTGTGTCTGTGTGGATGTTAACTGTTGAAATCTTTACTTAGTATATACTAAGTTGATCTTCTGTATATAAAGATAATTAAAAATGAATCTTAATGAAGAATGGGATGGGAGAGGGAGTAGGAGATGGGATGGTTTGCAGGTGGGAGAGTGGTTATGGGGGTAAAGACCAGTATAATCCAAAAGTTGTACTTTTCAATTTATATTTATTAAATAAAAGTTTTCTTAAAAAAATCCAACCTGTGTCCAACAAAATGGCTATTGAATTAGATTATTTATGAAATACACATTTTTAAAATGTTATAGATATATGATAGAATATAGAATATATATGATAGAAATCTCACAATACATTTAATGATAAGTAACATATAATCTTAGTTTTTTAGATAAATGAAAATTTAAGTAGTCAGAATGAGAGACATTTTTATCTTAAATGATTGAATTATAATGCCAATTCTTTTTTAGTGATTATACATTTATTTCTTTAAATTTTCTAAAATGACTACCTTAGTCATAATGATGAATGAAGAATGAAAGTTATTTTGAGGGGCTGGCACTGTGGCACAAAAGTTTAATAATCCTCTGCTTGCAGTGCCTACATCGCAAATGGGTGCTGGTTTGAGGCTCAGCTTCTTCCCTTCTGATCCAACTCTGCTAATGCTCCTGGGAAAATAGTGGAAGATGGCCCATGTACTTGGGTCCATGCACCCACATGGGAGACACGGAGGAAGCTCCTGGCTCCTGGTTCCAGGCTTTAGTCAAGCCCAATCCAACCTTTTGCAGCCATTTGGGAAGTGAGCAAGTGGATGGAAGATTTTTCTTCCCCTCCCTCCCACCCCCCGCTTCTTTCTTTCCTCCCTCCTTTCTTTTCTCTGTATTTCTGCCTTATTTTGGGGGTCGGCGCTGTGGTGTAATAGGTTAAGACCCTGCCTGTGGTGCCGGCATCTCAAATGGGAGCCGGTTCCTATCCTGGTTGCTGCTCTTCCCATCTATCTCTCTGCTATTGCCTGGGAAAGCAGTATAGGATGGCACAAGTGTTTGGGCCTCTGCACCCACATGGGAGACCGAGAAGAAGCTCCTGGCTCCTGGCTTCGGATCATCTCAGCTTGTCTCAGCTCTGGTCAGCGGCCATTTGGGGAGTGAACTAGCAGATGGAAGATCTGTCTCTCTCTCCCGTTCTCTATCTGTAACTCTACCTCTCAAATAAATAAATAAATCTTCAAAAAAAGTTATTTTGAAATTTAAAAAACTTCAAAAATTAAAAAAACTAACATTAAATGAGGTGGACAGACTTGTGGTGACAAAGTTTTCATAGCTTTAATATAATTTTAGAATGTAGTTTCAAAAATTCTAAATATCTAACAGTAATTAAAAATTCTATTATAATTTTAATCAAATTCTCAAAGATCATGAAAAATTTGTTTCAAGTTAAATTTGTTTCTAAAGGAAAATGACCAATATAGAACGTGCATTTTACATATAAGTTGTCATAAATTATCAAATACCTAGATGATGGAATATTTAACCATTAAAATAATTTTTCAAATAACTTGTAGTTATATGAAGATGCCAGTACTCTCATATTAAGTGTGGGAAAAAGAGTTCAGTTATTTTAAAAACACAGAGATAGATAGAATACAAAAGACTAAAAGAAAATTTACAAAACTGTAGTGCTTATCTGTGGAATTATATTGCCTACATTTTCTGTGTAAATATAATCTTTAAGGATGATAGAAACATAAATACCATACCATTATCTTCTTTTTCCTATCAAACTTCTTTACAAATGTCTTGTATCTTCCCAGTTTTTCGTAAGCACCTTTACAAAACATAAGAATTCACAACACACATACATATACTATAAAACTGAGGAAAAGTTTAAACAATTTAAAGAAATTATATATGAAACCATTTAGTGAATTCAACTAGTTATTTTAATAAGTACAATGCAAGACACACTCTTAGTTGAATGGATAATCAGAATTCTTATATTCTGCTTTGCTTTTCTGAAATATCATGTTCCAAGTAACATATTTATAGTATTCTTACAGACTGAACAGGATTTAGCTCCCCAATCTAATGGGAGATGTTTAAACCCAAAAATTTTATGTTAATAGTTGATGGATTAAGGGTGGAGACTGGATCTAATTATAGCATCTGAGAAGGTGGGCTTGTAGAAGGTCTTTAGTAATTGGAGGTATGCCCTCAGAAGGTAATTTTCTCTAGAGCATTGGTTATGTAAGTGGAGTGTGTTTTCTGTGTCTCTCTCTGCTTCCTGGTGCATCATGTGATCATTCCTCTGCAAATACCCATGACTGCCAACCTCCATCAGATGCCTAACAAATGGTGCCACCCAATCTTGAACTGTGAACCTCCAAAATGAAAGTCAAAATAGAGCTTTTCTTTATCAAGAAGCTCCTTGGTTATTTTAGTTAAAGTGACAAAAAAACTAATATAGTGTGCTTCTTTTTTTAATTTTTTGTTTTAAAGAATTATTTACTTATTTGAGAGGTAGAGTTATAGACAGAGAGAAGGGAGACAGAGAGAAAGGTCTTCCATCTACTGGTTCACTCCCCAAATGGCCACAATGGCAGGAGCTGAACAGATCTGAAGACACGAGCCAGGACAACTTCCAGGTCTCCCATGAGGGTGCAGGGGCCCAAGCACTTGGACCATCCTCTACTGCTTTCCCAGGCCATAGCAGAGAGCTGGATCAGAAGATCACCTAGGACATGAACTGGTATCTGTAGGAGATGCTGGTACCACAGGTTGAGACTAATCCTACTATGCCACAGTGCAAGCCCTAGGCACATACTCTTATATCTAAAGTGTTACCTCAATCCTTCCCTTCTGAAAAAGTCCATGTTTTTCAAATATGTCAGTCACTTACATTTGGGTTTTACGTGGTTACCTTAAATCAATAAGTGAAGAAATGTTGTGCATGGCCCAGTGAAAGATTATGGGACTTTGAAATCAGATATTGTAGACTTAAATCCAAGCTTGGTATTTACATATTTAAGACTACAAATTTAAATTATTTTAATCAGGAGGAAGGTATGAAGGGATACATTCATATTTTGCTGTTTGCTTATAGGTATCTTTACAACATTAATTGTATATATATATATAAATATATGTATGTACATATACACAGATATATATGTTTGAGGGTACTTTAAAGTTTGTGCAATAATGGAACGTGGAGATAATGTTTGTGTATATATATATATATTTATTTTATTTTTTTGACAGGTAGAGTTATAGACAGAGAGAGACAGAGAGAGACAGAGAGAAAGGTCTTCCTTTCGTTGGTTCACCCCCTGCTAGAAGGAAGACTAATTAGAAGGAAGACCTTTCTGTGTCTCTCTCTTACTATCTGTAACTCTACCTGTCTAATTAAAAAAATTTGAAATAAGCACAAACTACTGAACATTTTACCCATCTAGCTCCCTGCTAATATACTTGTGAGGGCAGCAGAGGATGGATCAAGCCCCTGGCTCCTGGCTTCAGTCTGGCCCAGCTATGGCCATTGCATCCATTTGGGGAATGAGCCAGCAGATGGAAGATTTTTCTCTGTGTACCTCCCTCCCCTGCCCCCCTTTCTCTCTCTCTCTCTCTATCTCACTCTGCCTTTCAAATAAATAAAATAATCTTTAAAAATGTCAATAAGAAAATTTTAAATAGTAAATTTAATAGTAATGTATTTAAATACATTCTCAGAATTTAAAAATTCTTCTTCTAAAACAGCAAATTAAATATCTAAATATAACTAATCAATTTATTTAACTGATATTATCACTTTCAAAGATTCTATATTACATATTTTCCCATTAAATCAAGAATAAGACAAGAATCACCAATAGTATTTAATACTATTCTGGAAGTATCAACATAATTAGATAAGAGAAAAATTATACAAGTACTAAAAAGAAGTAAAAACTGTTGTTAGTTATAGATATGCTTCTCACTAATTCATTTACTGCATAATGAATACTAAATATTCTTACAAGTTTTAGGTCCTTGTTTCCTTCTATCCCAATCCTTGCTGAATTGTTTATAGTTATCTTGATACAATCATGTTTTCCTGGCATTCCCCTACCTCGACTGCAGTTTAACAAAGTTTACAACTGTTTCAGGCTTTCTTGAAGTAATAACACTTTCTTCAAAACCACAAGTTTATTTCAGTTAAAAATCTGTATTAGACATTTTATGTTGAAGATGTTTTAAAAAAATAATTTCTTATCATTTCAAGATATTTTCTACCTTAGTATTTTATTCTTCATGAAAATGCACATAGAAACACAGACACACACACACACACACAAGCACAGAACTGACCATTATTTCACTCATACATTAAAAAATGCTTACTTGCTTTGGAAATCATGTCATTCCACTCAAATATTCTGGATGCATGGTTTTTCAGAAGAACGGAACATTCACTTAATCTTGACTCCATTGACATGTGTGCCTCATCTATTCGAGGGACAGTTTTCCATAGATATGAATAAATTGAAGTAAATGAACTATCTTCTTTTATAGTTTTCATAATGTGTACCCACTTATCATGATCTTTAAAACAGATTTCCCTTGGCCAACAATCCTGAAAACAATATGAAAGAGAAAGTAGAATTCAAAGTCAAAACAACTAAAATTAAGATTTTTATTTCATATTATTATATTTTTTAAATTTTTATTTATTTATTTTTTGACAGGCAGAGTGGACAGTGAGAGAGAGAGACAGAGAGAAAGGTCTTCCTTTGCCGTTGGTTCACCCTCCAATGGCCGCCGCGGCTGGCGCGCTGAGGCCGGCGCACGGCACTGATCGGATGGCAGGAGCCAGGTACTTATCCTGGTCTCCCATGGGTGCAGGGCCCAAGCACTTGAGCCATCCTCCACTGCACTCCCGGGCCATAGCAGAGAGCTGGCCTGGAAGAGGGGCAACTGGGACAGAATCCGGCACCCCGACCGGGACTAGAACCTGGTGTGCCAGTGCCGCAAGGCGGAGGATTAGCCTAGTGAACCGCGGCGCCAGCTGGTATATTTTCTTTTTTAAAATGTGAAATAATCTGGGGCCGGCGCCGTGGCTCACTTGGTTAATCCTGCACCTGCGGTGCCAGCATCCCATAATGGCACCGGTTCTAGTCCCGGTTGCTCCTCTTCCAGTCCAGCTCTCTGCTGTGGCCCGGGAAGGCAGTGGAGGATGGCCCAAGTGTTTGGGCTCCTGTACCCGCATGGGAGACCAGGAAGAAGCACCTGGCTCCTGGCTTTGGATCAGCGCAGCATCGGCTGTAGCAGTCATTTGGAAAGTGAACCAATGGAAGGAAGACCTTTCTCTCTGTCTCTCTCACTATATCTCTACCTGTCTAATTAAAAAAAAAAAATTTGAAATAATCACAAACTACTGAACATTTTAGTGCTTACATTTTTTTCTGAATCATTTGAGGATAAGCTGCTTTATTGCTCAATCATCCTTTAGTATTTCAACATCTATTTATAAAAAACATAAACATTTTCCTACATAATAACAATATAAGAATCAGGACATTTGAACCAACTATAATTTGTTCCCCAAAGAGTTCATGTATAAGAAACTTGGTCATTAGTGTGGTGATGTTAAGAGGCAGTGCATCCATTAAGAGGTGGGACTATTTGGAGATCATTTGAGAGTGCTACCCTTAAAAGAAATTGATGTAGTTCTCCTAGGATCCTGGTTTGTTCTCACAAAGGGGTTGTTACGAAAAAGTACACATAGCTCCTCCCCATTTCTCTCTTTGATTTACTATCTTGCTATATGATCTCGCTGCCTGTCTCATGCACTTTCACAATGATGCCATCTCTGGTGCTGTGAATCAGTTAGGGGAGCCCTCACCAGAGTCAGCACCTTACTGTTTGGACTTTCAACTTCCAATAATGTGAGCTAAATACAAGGTACACACCCTCAAATATTTCATTCTAATAACAGGTAGTAGACAAATATAGCATTGGTGTGTTTTTCCTATTTTATTTCAGACTGTATTTGAGTTTCATCAATTGAACCAATAACACCTTTTATAGAAAAAAAATCTAGTTCAGAATCATACATTGCATTTAGGTTTCATGTCTCTTTATTCTCTTTCAATCTGTAATAGTTCTTCAATATTGTTTTAGTGGGGGAAGGAAGATTTGGAGGCTTAGTTTTATTTATTCTTAATTTTTTCCATTTTTTAAGTTGTATTAGTAACAAGCAAACATTGGGCCTATCTGTGATATTCATGTGATATTATGCATATGATATTATGCGTAATGATTACCAAAATAAAGCTAATTAACATAGCCATCACATTACACACTTTTTTTTTGTAGTGAGAACATTTAAGATCTACTCTGTTAGTAATTTTCAACTGTGTTATATGTTATTAACTACAGTCACCATTATGTCCAATAGATCACCAGAACTTATTCAATCTATAAATTCAATCTATGAAAATTTGAAATTTGAAATTCTACATGTAAGTTGGAACAGGTAGCAATCATCTATGTGTGGCTTATTTCACTTAGCATAATGTCCTTCAGGATCATCCATTTTATAAAAATAATAGGATTTCATGATTTTAAATGCTGAATAATATTCCACTTATATATACACAAACATACACATTTGTTTTTCCATCCATATGTTGATGAACATCTACGTTCATTCCAAATCTGGACTCTTCTGAATAATGCTGGGAGTACAAATATCTCTTTGACAGACTGATTTCATTTCCTTTGGCTATATATTCAGATGTGGGATTGCTAGATCAGATGGTAGGTTTGTTGTTAATTTTCCAAGGAATATCCATACTATTTTTCATGATGGCGAGACTAATTTACATTCCTACTGCAAGACTGCCATTTCTTCACATACTTATCAACATCCATTTTTTTGTCTTTTTGATCATTCTTTTTTTAAAAAGATTTATGTTATTATTTATTTTAAACATAGAGTTACAGAAAGACACAGAGAAACAGATAAGAGAGGTATCTTCCATCAGCTGGTTCACTCCCTAAATGGAATTAGAAGCTGGGCCAGCTGGGATGTGAACCAGAGTTCATAAGGGATGCTGCCATTGTAGGCAGTGGCTTAAACCTCTGTGCCACAATATCAGCTCTTGATCATAGCCACTCTAACAGATGTGAGGTAATATCTAATTATGGTTTTAATTAACATTGCCCTGATAATTACTGATGATTTTGAGTATCTTTTCACATCCCGTTGGCCATTTGCATATCCTCCCTTGAGAAATGTTTAGTTAAGTCCTTTGTCCATTTTTAAATTGAGTTATTTGTTTTCTGGTTATTGAGTTATTGAGTTCCTTGTATATTTTGAATATTAACAGAGATATCATGTTTTGAACCTTATCAGATGTATGGTTTTCAAATATTTTCTCCAATTTTCCAGGTGGTGTCTTTATTCTGCTGATTATTTCCTTGGACATGCAGAGGTCTTCAGATTAATGAAATCCCATTTGCCTATCATTGCTTTTGTTGCCCATGTTTTTGGTGCCACAGCCCAAAAAAACAATCATTGTACAGACCTATGTCATGGAGTTTTCCAGCAATGTCTTTTCTCGTAGTATTACATTTTCATATCTTAACTTTAAATCTTTAATCTATTTTGAGCTTTTTTTCCCCTGCATTTCATTCTTTAGCATGTAGACACACAATCATCCCAATATCACTTATTAAAGAAAATGTCCTTTCTCCATTTTGTGGGCTTGGCACCTTTGTCAAAAATCAATTGAACATAAATACATATATTTACTTTTAGGCCACATAGTTTACTCTGTTGGCCAATGTGTCTGTTTTTATGCTATTATCATGCTGTTTTGATTATTATACTTTTTAAAAAGATTTTTATTTTATTTATTTGAAAAAATACACAGAGAGAGAAGTAGAGGCAGAGAGAGAGAGAGAGAGAGAGGTCTTCCATCACTGGTTCACTCCCCAATTGGTCACAATGGCTGGGGCTGGGCCAATCCAAAGGCAGGGACCAGGAGCTTCATCCAGGTATTCCTGCAAGGGTACAGGGGCCCAAGGGCTTGGACCATCTTCTACTGCTTTCCCAGGCCATAGCTCTCTTCAGCCACAACTCCAACCGGTGCCCATATGGGATGCCAGCACTGCAGGCAGTGACTTTACCTGCTATGCCACAGCACCGGGCCTTGATTACTATACTTTTGTAATATGTCTTAAATAGTGTGGTGCTTCCAGCTTTGTTCTTTTGTTTTGATAATTTAAGGTCTTCAATGGTTCCATATACATTAAAAGATTTGTTTCCCCTAGTTTTGTAAAAAAAAAAAAAACAAACTCAAATTTCAATATTTAGTCCACTGAATTTCAGGCATGGAAAGCCAAGACACTCTGGCAAAAAGATCTCTGTGAGTGAGATCCCAGTGGAAAGAACAGGTCTTCAAAGAGGGAGGTGCCTTTCTCTGAAGGGAGGAGAGAACCTCCACTTTGACTATGACCTTGTCTAAACAAGATAAGAGTCGGAGAACTCAAGGGGCTTCCATAGCCTTGGAAACTCATGACTGGTGCATAGGGAGATTATTGATGCCATAAACAGGAGTGTCAATTTGTAAAGTCAACAACAGGAGTCACGGTGCACTTACTCCTCATGTAGGATCTCTGTCCTTAATGTGCTGTACACTGAGGCTTAATGCTATAACGAGTACTCAAACAGTATATTTCACTTTGTGTTTCTATGGGGGTGCAAACGATTGAAATCTTTACTTGATGTACACTAAACTGATCTTCTGTAAAAAAAAAAAAAAAAAGAAATTATCAATTCCCAACTTGACTCTCACTGGGATTAAACATGATAATAGGTCTGATCTGATTTCATCATCATTTAAAAAAAAATCATCTATTATTTTTCACTTTATGT